ATGGTTGAGCCTCTGGGTTTTCTGTTGTTTGTCCTGAGAGGCTAACATGGTTTTCTTGCTCATTTTCATTCACCTTCTGGAACCTTTCAGAGATTGAAAATCTTTTTTGTGCTGTGACAAAATTATGCTCCCAATCAGTTCCAGGGCTGCCAATGGGAGTGGTGTTATATTCAGGAAGAGAAAGAATCCTCCCTAAGGTTTTTGGAATTTTTTTGCTTGAAATATCCACATCATCATCCCCATTGCTCAGCATCTCAGATAGATGTTTCTTGGCCTCAAGATAGATGTTGGACACCCCTTGATTTGGACTCCCACTTTCATGTTCCCTACCTATTTCATAGTCCTTCAGCTTGTTCCTGTCTCCTTTCTTCATCCAAATTGAAGGTTTTGCCATTTTTTCAATAAAGAAGTGCTCTTTTGATGGGGAGTTCCTTCTAACCTTTTCCTTAGTCCCTTTGTCAGAGTCCCCTGAATTTTGATGCTCAGCAGAAAATCTTGTAGAGACTCCATCTGAAGAGATTCTTTGCTGCTCCTTTCCAATAGCATATTTCAACTTTCTTTTAATTTCACTAAGAAAAAAGTGGGAACCGACTCTTTCACTCTGCTCCTTCTCTCTCACAATGTAGTGAGACTGGGGTGATGAGCCAACAATGTCTCCAGCTTCAGAATTTAGAAAGGTTTTTGGCCCTGGCTTTAAAATAACAATTCGATTTGAAGTTTGACTGGGTTTATTTTCATTCAAAAGGTTTCCATGCTGAGACTTGGCCTTTCTCCTGAAGAAGTTGTGCTGTTTTCGACTGGCAAGTACATCAGATTTTGATACATCACCAAGCTCTTTTTCTGGAAAGTTATGATCTACAACTGGTTTGAGGTTTTCTTCTTTCTCTGCCTGAGCATTTTGCAAGTCCTGAAGATCTTTTGACAATAGTGAATCTGGATCTTGTAGGAGTCTCAGAAACAATTCCTCATCTGAACCCAAAATCTGGAGAGCTTCTGCGAAGTCCTTGGATGAAAAGATTTCGCCATCCTGTGATGGATATTTCCCATCTATGAGCCTCTGACTTATCAAGAACTTGATTATCTCGGTGAATTTTTCTTTAAATTCACGATTATTATGGTTCAATCGGGAATGCACTTCACCAGGCTGGTCATGCTTCATGCAATCTATACTTTTTTGATGGATCTGGTGGCAGAACTCTTCCATCATATTGTCTATATCAAGACTATTCATTGTTTGATGCCTTGAGTATTGATAACACTCAGACCCCAGATTTTCATTTTTATTTATATCATGAATGTTATCACAGCTTTTCTTACGGCTTCTTTTTCCTCTTCTTCGGTTCTTCCTTTTGTGCCCTTCATATTCTGAATCAGGCTGCTTTAAAATTACTTCAATATTTGTTAACTCTTTCTTTGCATCGTGCTCACTGAACATTTCTTCTTCTATGAGTTTCTTCACGCTTGGCTTGAAATTTCCTGGTGCAGCATCTTTGTCTTCACAATCCTGAAACAAGTGATTCATTCCATCTTTGAAATGTAAGTTCAACCTCTACATTCAAGACTAGTCCACAACCTCCATCCTTAAGAGAGTAAAAAAATTGTTCTTGAAGACAGAGAATCAAATTTGTCCAAGACTTACTATGGTTCCTTGACAATTCTCATTGGAAGAAGTTAATTTGTCGATCTTATTCCTTGGACGTCCAGGACCTACAAATTAAAAAGAATTTCCAAATGAACAATAGTGAAAAAGATAGGAACACAAGGCAAGTACACTACAGAAAAATCTATAATAACAATTTAGAGCAAGTACTGTACACTTGCTTCTAAAATTCATTTTTGCTCAATGAATTTCAGCAACAATAAATAGTAGAAATAGGCTATCTCACTATGTTAGTGCCTTCTTTTTACACAAACAATTTCTGTGTTTTTTCATGTCTTTACATGCTAATTTTAAGTTTCCATGCCAATCCTAGACAAAGTTCTTACCAGCAGCATGTCGGGTTCCACGTCTCTTATCTGCCAGCAGTTTCTGAGTGGATCGACCATTACGGAAATCAAACATACTCATCAAGCCCCACATACAGCCAAGCTGGTCTTTCTCATATCGCATGGGGCGTTTCTGAGATTTTTTCGGCATACTGAAAGCACAATTTTTTCGAATTTGTTATGTTCTTTCTCGTCCCTTCCAAACTTTGCTCCTTGGAAATCTGCCAACACCAGAACAGAAAAATATAGAGAGATAGAAGTTATTAGGATATCATGTGGGATATAATATCCCTCTCCAGTTTGACAAGGAAAGGAAAAATTAATAAGTGGTTTGCTTATCAGAAGGACGACGAACACCACCAGTATGAGAAATTACATATCAGTGGATATACCAGTTTCAGGTTTCCATATAGAGCTCCCAAGAGAGAAAATTTCCAATCATGAAAAGATTTATCTCAACTTTTGAACAGTACCAACATACTAAATTCAACATCTTCCAATCAAGAACTAAAAAAATCCCATTTTGTGAATCTTAAGTAAAATTGTTAAAACAAGAAAAAGAGATAAACATAAGGCTCTTATTGTAGAGTTGACTACTCATGAATGTGACTACTATCAAAAGATAAAAAAGAAAGCAAATCAAAAGAAAAAAACTTCTCCTTCTTCTCACTTCACAATGGACATCAATGGAGGCAATGGAATTTGGTGCATTCCACAAGCAGATCCTCAGACAATTTCCATATAAATTTGTAATTTCTTTAAAAGTAATAATAAAAAAATTTCCATTAGATTCATTTAGTTTATTAGCTTTATTGCCTGATCTTTTATTAAACCCTTGACTTTTATCTCACTCACGCAACTCAAGATCATAATCCAGTGTTCCCACATCAATTTGCAATCTCAATGTTAGCGAACTAATTGCGCAACAGGGAAAAAAAAAGGTGGTTTTCCATAAGGAGAAAAACTAAAAAGAGCAAACCTATCAAATTAAGTACTCTTTTTCTGTTTGAAATAGACAGCAAAGTTGGATGCATGAGACGATTACCTCAATTTCCTCTGATTCCTTTAAGCTGATAAGACCAAGAAGAAGAAGCAACAATGTAGCTGGCTATATTACCAAAACAAGTATAATCTACAACACTCCAAAGTTTCCTAAAGAGTTATGCTCAAAGATCTCATTCACCCTTTTAATCAATCACAATCCTTCAACAAGTGTGTAGAACTTATAGAGGTTGAAAAGGAATCTCTTATTGTTTGATCTTCCCTTTAACGGAGAGACCAATCCACTTCATGATCTCGGATAAAGAATTCAGTTCTGATATCCCAATTGACAAAAACTAAGCCAGGATCAACTGGGCAAGATTTGATCAGAACATACTCCATATTCAAACTAGCCTTCATAGGCCACGGGAAAACCAAAATTGCCCAGAAAACATGATTCTCTGCAAGCACAGTTTAACAACTAGGCAGAAAGAAAAAGTTTCACTGCATGCGATATCTTTAACTCTAAATCTCTGCAATTCAGAATGGAAATCTGAGAAGCAAGCCTTTTCTGGAATCCCACAATCAAATTTCTTCAAACTCACCGACAATTATCAAAACAAAACAAGTTTTCTTCAAAATTCTGCTTCAACTTCAAAGCTCCATGCGCCAGGAGGAATGTTGATACACACCCAAAATCCTCTCCTCTTCCTTAATAAAAATAATATACCTCCCGGGAAATGGAAGAAAAAAACAACTAAGGAAATGAGAAGGAAGAAGAAAAACGAAGATCAAACACTCAGAAATCTTCAATATTCAACACAAAACAAGGACTTCTTTTTTTTATGGGTGGCTAACTTTTGACAACCAAAAAGAGAGACTACATCACCGACCCACTATTTTTTATGAGGAAACCTCTGATGGGCAGGCATTAAAGACTGAGAAAAAGAGGAAAGAGAGAAGTGAGAGAGAAAAATGAGAAAGTGAAAGGAGGAGGGTGAGAAAGAGAGAACTTTAACAATGGGGGAGAGGAGTAGAAGAGGAAGAAGAATACGTGACAGTTGGGTTTTTGATGGGCCCATTTTTGAAGAGAGAGAGGCTTGGCAATGAAGAAAAGTCTCCATTTTTCCTCTCTCTACCTCCACATTCACCTATCATCCCTGTCAAATCTCTCTCTCTCTCTCTCTCTCTCTCTCTCTCTCTCTCTATATATATATATATATCTATTCGTTAGCTCTTTTGCAGAGAGAAAGAACAAAGAAAGTATCAACAGAGTGGCTACTTTATGTGGTTTTGTAGATGGATGGAAATTATGGCCATTTGAGACCTTGAGAAGATGTTGAGATATGGCTGATTTCCATTCCTTTATATATATTTATATTCTTTTACTCATTTGATACTATTTGCTAATATTAATCCATGTTTCAACTATAAACAACTTTTCATTTTTTAATTACTTTTATTTTACATTAAATATAATGGCCTAAGGTTTATATATTCTAAAATAATCTGTTTAAGAGTTCAATTAACTGACGTATTTTACTATTCAATTTTTTTTACATTTAAATTAAATTAGATAAACATGAGTTTATAAATAAATAAAATAGTGAAAATATAAGATAATAAAATTTCATAAGGTTACAATTTTATAGTTATTTTCAGCAACAGTTTCCATTTTCATTCTTTTTGTTAATTTCATCAAATTCAATCATTTGTTCTACTTTAATTTAATCAAGTTTTAAAATATTTAATTTAATTAAATACCAAAAATTACTCATTTAATTGTAAAATTTAAATCTAAAATTATATTTTGAGCAATTTAAATCCGTTTATAAAATGGGTATTTAGAAAAATAATTAAAATGAGTAAAATGGTGTAAATATAGGGGGAGAAATGAGACAATGATATAAAAGAGGAAAGTAGGAGGTAAAAAAGGAAACCTGTATTTAGAGAATGGAATACACGTCACTCCATACAATGGAGTTGGCACGAATATTTCATTTTGCTCTTCTGTCATCTTTTGGGTATAAGAATAAATTTTCAACAATAAAAAAAGTATCAAAGGAATTAAAAAAATCAATAAATTCCTTTTCCTTAGTTTTTTTTTAAAAATATAATTTTTTATTTTATTATTTATTTCTATTTAATTTGGTCTTACCTCAATTGGTGTTAATATATTTTTTATATTCTCAAATAATATTTAAATTAACTCATTTTTACTACTAATATAAAAATCCGAAACTGAAAATAAATTCATAAATTAAATGCGGAAGCGATTAATAGAGTTATAATTTATATTTCTTCCACAATAATTTTGAATGCCCAATAGAACTACATGAATGTCTATTCTAAAAAACAAACGAAAATTAAAGAAATAAAATAAAAAATAAATAACTAAGCACCCTACGACAACATTCACTAGAACTTAAAGGGAGTTCGGATAGTGAATTACTCACAACTCTCTCACTGATGGTGATCTGGATCTTAATCCTCTTAATCTGAAATAGTTAATAAAAGGGTGAGTTACACTAGTTCAGTAAAAATATCACACTAATCACATATACGGAAAATTGAATATTGGTAAAAAAATAAGATAAACAACTAATGGAGTCCTTACTTTATTTAAATATATTTAAAACTTGAAGATATTAATTTAATACTTACCGTAACGAGTTTTTCAAAAATAATCTATAAAGACTTACATTCATATCCATATCACTTTTCATTTTTATTCATAAGAGAATGAGAAACAATAGCTTTCATTTATTACCTACTTACCGGTACTCCTGGGGGTCCATAGAAGTGTCCCTCCTACTTGTGAACCCAATATCTAATTTTACAATTGACTAACCATCTC